GTCGAAATTACCGATCAAACATTTGAACGTGAAAGTCGCAACTATTACCATCCATTTCAATATTGGCTAGCGAAAAGTTTAGTGGATATTTTTCGAATGGTCATCTATCCATTATTATTTCTCAGTATGCTCTATATTGAAATCGTTCCGCGTGGTTCGTTCTCGTTCTATTTCTTTGTCATGGTTCTTTGTTCGTTTGTTTGTTCGGGTATTGGTCAATTAGTATCGGTGATTTTCGATCGAACAGAATATGCATATCTCGCCGGAACAATCTTCGCTCTGTTATCATGTCTTCTGTCGGGATTTAGTCCGACAAAAGATGAACTGAAACAAGGTGGTTTTATTGTTATTTTTTCATTTTCGCGGCATGTGCAAAGTTTATTGTTTCGACATGAATCGAAACTTTATCTGGAAGCATTGGAATCCAAGGATCACATATGGGGAACGTCGGTTGAAGGTATTCATAAGAATTTCGACTTCAATAATAGTGAAAATCCGCGTTTTTGGATGATTCTCATTGGATTTCTTTTGCGTGCATTGACATTTGCTTTTCTCTATGGCAAATCAGAATATCGTTCGAAAGCTCGCTTCTACGTAACGAATCTTCTACCCAATTTGAAAAGTCTTCTTACATGTGAATCACGTCGAGATCGTCCTTTCAAGCATCAAGCTAGTACGCATAAACTTTCTAGGCGCAACATGGGTGAGAGCTCCTTCTAATTTACTTCGCAGATCGTCCAGACGTTCTACCTTCATCTTCTTTCAAATAAATCTAATGCTGTATCGAAAGTGCGAATACTGCGTTTTTGTAATACTATCGTGCTATTTGTAATCTGATTATTTTAGTGTTTGTTACTGATAATGCATTCAGTTATTTCCGAAAGAAATTATTTATTTAAGATGTCGAAAAACAAGAATAAAAAGCATAACATACGCAGCGCATCTTGAAGGTGAGCATCGAAATATGCTTTCCTACTTGATGATCCACCATCTCATAGTATCAAGACAAGCGACGCAATTAGGAAGAACTCAGTATAGAACGATTATATTAATCGCTTTGTTATTTCGTGTTACACTGAAGAAACTTGCTTTTATTATAAGCCCAATTATTCTTTTTGTAGATGTTAATAACATCTTCGCATGTGTCACAACAGTTAGTTGAGCCATCATAACAATTATCACAAATACCTAGAGGGTGAGGGTGTCATCAAAGTGGATTTTAAGCTACTAATAATGTTATTCTTACGAATATTGTTAGGTTTGGTCGATGTGACTGAGACAAGAGTGTCAGCTTGTTCACTTTCAGTGTTCGAGTCGGCAAGAACCTCGAGATCGTCGTCTGCGATTGTTTGGGACTGGGTATCACTACCTATTAAATAGAAATATCACATATTTGGTACAAATGTAATAAAATATTCGGTTCAAGGATGTCAGTTAAGAATAGGAAAATCAATAATATATTCTATGCGAATTCTTCACGTCTGCTATAATATGAGGAAGCATCGACGATCAAGGAAAGATGTTCAATATTATGTATCCTGTTATGAGATTCGATTTCTTTTTCGCAACAGTTATTAATTATAGACTCGGTAATAGATTGTTTGATGAAATGCGGTTTACCGCTTTTCATCAAAGATATTTTTCTGACGTTTTTGGAAAAGAAAGGATATGAGTTTTAAACTAACTCAAAAGCTTTTACAATATTCACATACAAAGATATAAGAGAGCGAAAGAAGAAAATTCAATTGTGAACTAACTATTTTCTACGGTTGAGTAAGGAATTTAGGTCGTGAAAATAATTACCGAAATCAGAAACACGCTCGAAATAATCTTTTGTGTCATGACCAACATAATCACCAGTGTAAATAATGTACTCCAAAATTTGATATGGATTCAGTAAAGAAAATGAACTTCCATTTCCTGTTGAGGCCGTATTTCCTGTTAATGTGTGTGTGTGACTGCCAGACGCATATACTTCAACGCCTGTATAAGTAGTAGAAGTTGCGAGCTGAGTAGCAGAACTATGCGGATAGTGGATATTTTTAACCCAATCTTTCTTCCCAGAAAAATAGCCACGATCATCATAACGCAGACTGTGTGCATGTCCTGGCTCCTTTATGCCATGTGTATGTGACCCACTCATCTCAGTTTTCAACGACCCAGACTCATGATGATGTGTTGGTAGCTCAACTGTTGTTAACGTATGTACTGCATGCCCACCAGCAGCACCTGTTTCAAGGGCATAGTTTGCTCGAATCGCCGACGGATCCCTTCCTATTGCAACACGACCACGTAAATCGGGTACATTGAATGTTGAATGTCCATTGCCATTTCCAAAGGAAGTACCGATGACATAAAACAACTTGTGATAAGTGGTGCGAGACAGCTCTTGGCCCTGACAGAATGTCCAATTATGTGGTACGCTTAGTTCTGTGCCAGAATAAAGTCTTATTTCGCCTACAGATGGTGAAGCGTAACTCGTATGCACTGTTAACTTTTCAATGTCTTTTTTAACAATAGAATCCGATGATTGAAGTTCTGTCAATTGTCTGTCTGTATTTAATCGCAATTTTTCTACATTGCTTTCAATGGTTCTCATTAAAGTTTTAACTTCTGTAAATAGACTTGTTGTCGGTGCTTGTAGACTGTTGCTATTATTTTTAGTTGCCGTATCCAACGATGCAATTTTTTCATATAATTTGTTCACGCGATCTTTGATGTTTTGACCATCTGCTTTCACACCTGTCAATGTGGAATCTAACGTATGTACACTTGATTCCAACAGCTTAGTATGATTATCGATGTGTGGTACTGTTCCCAAAACACTGTACGATGTTCGTAGTTCTTTGAACTGTTTGTCCATATTTAGTTGTGTTTTTTCCATATTACTTTCGAATATACCAAACTCTTTACTTAATTCATCTAATTTTGATTCAAATATATTCGAGTAGGAATCAACGGCTGGCACATGTGTCCGTCCAGTATGAGAAGATAATGACGGTAGAATGCGGATCGGCAGAGTATGTATTGACTCTATACGTGCCACAGTAACTTTTTTGTCGACGAATTTTTTGTTTTCAGTATAATCAGCTAAATTTAATCTATAAGCTTCAACTGGTTTAACAATAAATTTTTCACCATTGAATTGTACAAATTGTCGATTTTTCATATAAAAATCAAAATTCTTCTGTCTTAATTCATCGAATGTTTGAGCATTGTTGTCGAGATTCCTATTGTCAACCGATACTGCACGACGCCACGCATCTGCATTATAAATTGACATGTCATCACCAGTTACTCGCAAAGTTTTCGACGCATTGCTATTCTGATACGAATCATCTTGGAACGTACTCGATGCATTATGCCAACCATGACTATTGTGATTTGCATGAGCATTAGAACTACCATCAATATCGGTTTTTGTTTGACCATGCGAAAAACCAGCACTAAAACTTCCAATACCGACGTTAGCGCTAATACTTTCGCCTCTGGTACGTTCAGTGTGTTTACTACTTGATTCACTGTGTCCTGTACTGTTTCCAGCCGATCTATCGCTGTTATTTTGACTAACTCTCTGTTGACCTTTCGAATATGATAGGTATTTATCATCCGTTCGATCCGTTTTATCATGAACACTATTGACTCGATTGTCTGAATGATCAAAACTTTCGTGTACAGCATTGTGACCACTAACCTTTGTATCGTAAATTTGTTGAGTACTATTTTGGTTCTTGTCGGCTAAATTCGTTCTATTTTGTAGCTCCCGCAACTCATCATTTAATAAATAAACAATTCGATCTGGCCGGATACTATCATGATTCGAGTAGACGGAATTCCATTGTTGTTTTACCTGACCATCTAATACAACGCTATTTCTTAATAAACTTAATTTTAGTAATTCGATGAGTATGGTTTGATCACCTTGAGAAATGTAATCGGAATCTGTTCTTTCTTCTAGTTCCATTGTAGTTAAAAGTTCTGTTGCGAGTTGATTTATATCATCAACAAGTAACTAGCGTTCGTGATTGTCGGCTGTCGCTGACGGCAACTGCTTCAATGCCGAAAACATCTTTGTTTTCATTAAATGATGTCCCGTAATTGTCACTGTTTTACTTGTGTGCTTCTCTGTCTGTGTACTGTACTGTAAAACTAAACCGTCCAACATTTTTGGACTTTGTTGAATACTGTTCAAATGCCGAGCATGTCTTACTTGTAGGACACTCGATTTGTACATCAAATTCATTTAGAAGCGCAGTATTCGGTTGCCAAGTTGTATCTAATTTATAATTCGATGAGAATGGATTTGTACGTGTCCATAGAACACGTAGATGTTCAGTTGGAACCATCGATATATCGCATACTTCCTGCTTTGAACTGCATCGATTTTGCGTATGTGACAAGTAGTCTAAGATTGTTCGACGCAATTCATTTGTGTAAAGCACCAATGGCAATGTCAAGATGTGTTTTTCAACCAATAAATTGTAGTGAATTTTTGTTTGATTGGTGTCTAGTACGGCTAACGGGATTGCAAAGAGTCGAGAACGATTTTGTTTATGTTCATAAACCGATACCGAACCTCCTAAGTAAGGAACCGATGTGAGCGTTGATGGAGACAGTTGTGCTTGAAAAAAATCTTGAGCGTATATGTAATTCTGTGAGACAACATAGAGTATAACGATAACATGGAGTTGTCGAATCATTGTTATAGTGAAAAAGCGTACTGAGTTCGATATTTTCATTGATATTTATAGTCTTTTGAGGAGAAGGGAGTTTCCCATTCTAAAAAAGGCCTTGAGTTTTCTTCACCCTTCGATAGATAACATCGTTCTTCAATTAATGCCGACGTATCACACTTGAGAAGGAGAAGGAGAAAGTGATACTACGATACAGAACCAATAGTTAATTACTTATGAGTATATAAGCATTGTCTTGATACATTTTATGATATAGAATGACTTACATTCGATACTTGAAATCAGAATGGGTATAGGAAAATGTGAAAAAATCGAGAAAGAACGAATCATTTCGTCATCAATGAAAAACAAAAGATGAAATGTCATCGTATACATTAAGATAGATAGTTTATCAATAAAATCCAACTCGATTGTGTTGACAGATTGTCCAATGTGATATGTGGGAAACATCCCATGATATTTTTTACTAATTTGATTAACAGCAAGTATGAAAATAAACATTCTTTCATTGAGACAAACTCAATCGTATGAATGGAACTCTATCCGACCTAGAAGAGACTATTTTCAAAAGTGGCATCTCATTGGATTTGCAAGTCATTTCTTCCTTGATTCAAGGTATTCATCGTATTGGAGTATGATACAACACAAGCGAATATTCTATTTTCTGTTTATTATTTTCTTACTGACTCATCTGGCAGGTAAATTTTTATGAACAATCCCTCGTAGCAAGAGATTGTTAGAAATTACTCTTTGGAATTGTATTTCTATTTCTACCGCATAGACCATGCTGAAAGTTATCATAGTTGGCATAATCGAGCTCGTCCGACTGGGCCACTGAGAGCTCGTAGATACAACTCGCAGTGACATTCTAATTCTCAAAATTCACCGCACTTGAGAACTCCATCATCAGGATTACTACCAAGACCAATTCGTCCGTCCGGCAGCTTTGGTATTCAAAGTCCAACCACATCAGAGACTAACTGCACCGATGGATAGTGTAGGCATTCACACTTCGACTGAATTCAAATTCCCTTCTTTCATATCGAAACAGAGACCAATGGGATTGGCAGGTAATGCCTTTTTGCGTTCTTCATAGGGTTTAAGATCTCCAGCAATTATGCCAGATACATGCAGACTAGATTCGCATATTAATGCAATCATGAAACATATGCGCGTGACTACACCGCTAGCGTCACAATTTGCAGGTTCAATCGACGGAGGCTCTGTAGGACAGCCCGCTTCGCTATCTCAGATTGTTGGATAGATATCCTCGAATGTAGGACGGGTGAACGATCACTAGACAGGACCATCCGTTCCAGGTCTTTTTTCCAATACAAATCCCCATAAAAGCATAGGTATTCTTCATATTACCGATGGACATTTCAAGTACATGAAAAATCTGAAGAGATTCGATAGTGATATACCAACATTTCTTGCAAACATCATGAAAAAAAACAGGAACTATGGATCTTTCGAACAATTACATCGGATCATTCACTTATAAAAGTAGTGGTCGAGGTGATGCTTCTGATTTATCAAATGATCCAAAGCTTAATTTTTTTGTTGCAACAAGTCAACAACGTCTGTTGAAAGGTATCAGTGGTATGGTATGGAAAGGGAAGTCGTCACAGGTTATCCTGTGGAAAAAGACCAATGTCAACGACGAAAACAGTTGGAGTGATGATCCATGTGAAATCTGCATGCTATGGTAAACAGTACATGTGGTGAAAATGAATATATATTATCCATCATCGTACTGAAAGATTGCTTTAATTCTAACAATATTCAAAGTATTTTCTCTTGATTTAGCTGCCATCGAATAAATTTACTTTGAATAAGAGATTCAAGAAAAACTTCACATTTATGTGAAAATTCTCTAGATCAACATCCATCAAGTCTATTCATAGACTTATCGAGTCCACGACCTCTCCCGTCGATAATAGTGATGCATTACACTAAAGACAAATATACATTGATTGACAATAGGTAATTCAGTTCTCTGAAATGCTATTCTGGGAAAAGAATTAGTTATCTGCTTTTGACGCATTACCTGCTGAAAGAAAATGAAATGAATAATAATAATCTACAACATTACTGAATTTATGGTTCTTTTATTATAATATAAAACTCCGAATGAACAAGCTCTCATTGTTATATGGAGGCGAACTTCTTTTGTAATTATTCAAACATTTCTATGAATGTGCATAATTAAAAGCCTCTGTGATATTCACTGGTGATAATTTTGAATCCCTCATCTTTCATTAAGTTATCCTTTCTGGTACTTAATACTACTGACATGTCTTCAGCTAATCAAACACTTTCTTCGTTCAATCTGCCGTCTACTAAATCAATTATCGATGATTTAAATTTAGTACAACAAAGATTTGTGAACCAACTTCCTCTCATCATCACTATTCTTGGTCTCATTGGATTTATCGGAAATCTCTTCACATTTCTTCAACCAAATCTTCGAAACAATTCATTCTGCATCTACACACTCACAGCTTCGTTCGCTGATATCATCAATCTATTCGTCAACCTTTTCCCACAATATCTTGATCCAACGTCAGGAAATCTTCTTTCGAATATTTCGGATCATTTCACATGTAAACTGAAACTCTTTCTTTTGGGATTTTTTCCACAATTACCCTTAAATTTGTTGATAATGTCTTTGATTGAACGATATGCTTGTACCTTTGGTCCAACCTCTCGGATGTCTCGACTGCGCCAAGTGAAAATGGTCCCATGGATGATTTTAATCACCATCATCATTGCTTGTATTATAGCGTTGTTTGCTTCTCTGCTGTACGATGTCGTTCCTGGTTATGGATGCACTTCGACGCATCCAACAATAAGCGCTGTAAATTATATACTCATAACTGGAATAATCACTCCCATGATAATGTTAATACTTGTACTTCTCACTTATCGAAACTTTCTACGAAGCCGACGACGAGTTGTGAGTACATCACTTGATATTGTTGATCAATTCTCATCTATATGTTCATTGTAGGGCACAATAATAGTGGCAAATCAAAATCGCTTTCGCAATCATTTCTTCGCAATGGTATTCGTTCAAGTGTTTGTTAGTAGTTTCTTCACTTTACTATGGATTGGAATGTATTCGTATTTCTTAGCAACACGAAACTATTCTAAAAGTGTGATAGAATGGGTATTGGATTATTTCATGTTGAGTTTGACTAATAATCTCTATTACTTGATTAATGTGAGATCATTCTATTTGTCAACATTAACATCGCGTTTGTTTCGAGAGACATTGGTGACAGGTGTTCTGAAAATGTTGCCTAGACACTTATATTAACTANTACTATGGATTGGAATGTATTCGTATTTCTTAGCAACACGAAACTATTCTAAAAGTGTGATAGAATGGGTATTGGATTATTTCATGTTGAGTTTGACTAATAATCTCTATTACTTGATTAATGTGAGATCATTCTATTTGTCAACATTAACATCGCGTTTGTTTCGAGAGACATTGGTGACAGGTGTTCTGAAAATGTTGCCTAGACACTTATATTAACTACGGAGGAGGAGAAATAACGGCGATACGGACATAAATGGTACAAGAAGGTAGCTAAAGCAGCAGCTTGATTCTGCTCAACTCGGAGTCTGTATACTTTGTAAATAGGAGATGAATCAATTTATAGAGAATCATACATTTTTCTTACTTTCGACATTCTCTTATCGAGTACGCATGAGCATCTTTTCTTCCTGTACTTAAAGGGCCCCAACGAACAAAAACGGAAAAAATAATCATAGTACGGTGAATTCATTGTTCTGATGAGGTTATACAATCTCGAATCTATGATTTTAAAGCAAAAGTATTAAGTTCGATATTCTAAATAAAGATGAGAACCAATTACGAAAAGGATTCTTTGTCCATTGGTCTACTACTACAGATACTACCTTGAAAAAAAATCTGATGTTTTTTTTTTATTCCGCTAAAACTTCATCACGATTACGTGTGGTTGCGGTGCAGATGTGAAAACAAACAAGACATAATTAACTAGAAAATTTTCAATCCTGATTCTGTGTAACTGATAAGATTTTGGTGAGTAAAATTGGAACCGATTTTGTGTCAAATAAAGTTTTTTTTTTCTAAAATATTTCTAAAATACTAACAATTGTCGGAGTTGAATTGTAAATGGCATCGAACTTAATTGATCGTTTGTTATAAATATTTCTTCAACTAAATCTTGTCAAAATAAATTTTAATTACAATTGTTACTGCATTCATGGTTCGAACCATCAAACAGACTGAATCCAAGCTTTCGCCTATTAGATTTTTATAATCATTCAAACACTTTGAGTTGTCCATATTCAAAGTATGCCATCAGTTATCAGATATTTGTGTCAAGTCAATTCATCGAACAAGCTTGGTTTCATATGATATTTACGAGTATAGAGATTTCGATGGAATCGACGCGTGGTTTACGTGTTATTTTAACTGTCTTTTGGCAAATTGTTGGAGACTTAAGCAATACAATTCGAAAAAGTTGGAATGCTGCGGCAGTAAACCTCAATGCATCACAGTTTCTTAGCTCGATTGCATTAGATGAAGAAGCTCTTCGGATTCCAGTTCATACAACATTCAACAATTTCATTGATTCATATCAAATAGCAATAATTCGTGATTTACTTGCTATTCACCTAATCATCAATGCAAAGCAACTTGTTGTTTCTAGTAACTCCCATCATAGGATCTGTTCAAATAGCACCGCGAACTTTGCCCACATCCTGGCACACTTAAAGGTAGCAATAAGAAATCGACGAAAATACCAGGAATTACTATGGATTGTTTGACGATTGATGCGACATTTGCTTCAACACGTGGATGTTATTATAATCAAACATGTCTTTCTTTGTTGCATTCATCATTACCGATAAATATTCGACCATTAGCAAACATCTCACCCAAATACTTCTCTACAAATTCAATAATACAAACAGTTTTGAATGAACTCATGAACGAAGAAATGATCAGTTATGCCTCTGTTGATTTATATTACTCACAATGTACTCCTCAGTATTTTGGTTAGTTTGTCATTTGCCATACGACTTGTTGTTCCTCTGATCGCAACAACTCTACTCCGGAGAAGAAATCCTGCATTGCCCCCAAGGACTGTGTGCCAGAAATGCAAACACTGCAACAGCATCAATGTAAGCTACATTGCATTGTCAAAACGATTGAACATACGCTTTAATACATTCTCTCGTAGTTTCTTTTATAGTTCGCCTTACCTGGGCTCACTTTCAATATACACCACAATACATTCGAGGAATGGTAATTACTTTGAATATTTTCGAAAGTTTAACACCACGCACTCCTGTCAACATTCACCATGAACGATTATATATACAAGACTTTTTATTATTCTTATCACTATAGCATCTATTCATACAGGTCTTTAAATTTTTCTTGTCGAACAAATCCATTTGATAATAATAGAACATCCGTCTGTTACTGCTTATCAACAATTGTAGAATGATCATTCAGCAACGTTGCAATGCTCTTGTTGAACAGTAAGTGTTCCTTATTTTCAACTCTTATCAACTTTCTGTTTAATGGCTAATGGACTGAACACTGGCTTTCGATTACTTATATCATTATTTGGCGAAATTTTTATTTTTTGTAATAACTGGTAGAAAGAGCATCATCGACAACGTGGTCAGCATGGTAAATAGACAAATTTAGATTCGAATATCCGTACGTTTTCCTTTGCAGTTGCCTATCTCATGAATTTTCCCATCAGTATCTACCAATCGATGAGAACAATGAATATATTCACAACTCTTGGAGGATTTGCCCGTGAACAGCAAACTTTTACTCGACTTTATCTATTTTTATACTTAGCCTCACTTGGTATCGTCATGTTTTACACAGCCGTTGTCGAACGTAGTACCATTCAAACTTTTTCCGTATCTTCAGTGATGGATTATGCGAGTTGTCTGTGTGCACGTTTAGCAATTCCATACGGCGATTTTCTTAATGAACTACGAGTGAATGCATTTAACAAAACATGCGCAACCAACATCAGAATAATAAATGATCGTTCATGCCGAATAAAATAATTCGACCAGAGCAGCTTCAAGCAGCTGTTGCGTGAAATGAATTACCTGTGATATTGACGTCTGGGTATCAAAATAAATGAATAGCTGAATCTCGCTTCCCAATATAGTACGCTGATGAAAAAAACAGCCAAAACCTTTCTGAATTTTAATGGTAGATTGAGGCTCATATCCTATATGCAAAAATAGACTATTTTTAATTAAATTTCTTAAGTAGACATAAAGCGGAAGCGGTCTTTATGAAGTCTTTTGGAGGGAGAAGTTTATCATGTCAGCGGCAGTGAATGTAACAATCGATTATCTTGAAAATCTCACCAATGGTATCCGTTTTTCTTTCGGTTTATTCAATTTGATTCTTGGTATGATTAGTAATTTATGTTTAATCACAATTTTAACAAATGTCAAAGTATTCAACAAGAATCCATCGAGTTTCTATCTAATTGTTGAATCTTATTCGAACATTGGCTTGTTAATAATCATTTGTACGTCGCGTTTGTTGATAAATATCTTAAATTATGATTTGTCGCTCTATTCGATCGCATGGTGTAAGATTCGGTATGGTCTTGCTCAATTTTTCGGTTTATTTTCACTATTCACTATTTGTTTCACAACTATTGATCAATATTTCTCCACAAATCATCGATTTTACATTCGACGACTTAGCACGATGGAATACGCGTACGCATTCATAGTCCTAATTTTGTGTTTATCATCGATTCATGGATTTCTTTTTGTGATTTATTCTGAAATTCGTCCATCTTTGTTTGGATGTTCAATATATGATGAAGTGGTGAAAAAATACCTATCGTATGTTTATTACCCGTTAATAAGCAATGCATTACCGTTGTTTATAACGATCACGTTCAGTTTATTATCGTATCGCAATGTTCGTCGAATAATTCGAAAGCAAATTTCGTTAATTCGTCGTCAACTCGATCAGCAATTGACAGCAATGGTTTTAAGTCGCGTTATATCATTGATTCTCTTCGGTTTACCGTATATTATTGAAACCGTATATCAAATGAATGTTAAGATCAAGGAAAATAGTGTCAAATCCAAAATTGTATTGCTTGTTGGTGCCATATCTGATTCGTTGCTGTATACTAACTTTTCAGTAAAAATTCTTTTGATTTTCTTTGAATATTTTCTCTATCTGATAGTTTTTAGATCAATTTCTTTCTTTTTTTAATCATTTCGTCGAGGTTTCGTTATCAAGTTAAACATTTCATTCGAAAAATTGCTTCCCTCAAACCAAAGAAATTCAAGAATAATCGAATATATCTACGTGCAAATACAGTCAATGCGTTGGTTCTTGAATCAGTTTAAATGAAACATGTGAATGTTCATTTTGGTACTAAATAAAGACTGAAATCGTTCTAAATAATTCCATCAAGACCATAAGATGATTAGGAAGCAACTAATTGATATTCATTTTCATGAAATACATTACACACGATAGCCGTATAAAGAGATTAGTCATTTAATGAAGTGTTCTACTTATTTGAACTGCTTCGTCGAACATTCTACAAACACATTGTCGAGTTTAAGTGATAATATTTGGCTTTCAAATTATGTCAAATTGTCACTTGTGCAAAACTATCGATTAGTGTAGAAAGAGTACATGTGAATAGTCACATGTTGGTCAGTGGGTACCTTGTAAATAGAACAAACTTCCAAACAGAATTACATTCTTCGATGCCGCTTATTGATTTTGTCTGATCGAAGATTGAAATTTCAATGCAGAAACTTTTGTATTACGTATATTGTTAGTGTGTTGTGATAATCGAGCATGTAAGGTGTTTGTTTAGTTTTAACAGTGATGATTAATTTCCGTTAGTTTGCGCCATTGGCGGTTCATCTTAAAATAAAATACATACTCGGCGTTATTTTTGCATTCTACGCAAGCTCAAGTTCTACTTATCGACATATATATATTTGCCATTGTCTCTGGTCTTTTAGAACGATCGAGTAATCTGATCATGAACAGATAGGTAATATTTCTAGAAAAATTAACGAGACGAGATAAGATCCATGTTGAATCACGTGAACAACAACACTAATTTTATGTTGCTGTCTGTGATAAAAGATCTCGCCTTACTGTTTACCTTACATATTATATGCTTGGAATAAAATCTGATTGTCACATAATTTTTGAAATTACCTTGTTACGTAGTACTCAGTCGAGACGATTTGCCTTGCAATTGTTGAATTGATGTTCCAGTAATGAGGATGTCACGATATGCAATAGATCGAATGGAATTCTTCGTGTATAGTCGAGATGTTTTAACAAGAATATGTCTATTTCACATTATTTGTCCAAGGATATTAATAAAGAAACCAATCAACATGACTGACAATTCAGATAAGATCAGGTTAAATAATGATGGAGTAAAATTAAAAGCACTAGAAGGGAAAAGACGTATATTCTGTAAAGAACTAATTAAAAAACCTCCGTCCAAGACAATCGAAATCATATATGAATTGGCAAATAGAACATTGTTTCAGTTTTCATTATCCGTATATTAAAGTACCTACAATCGTCTACTTTACTTCTATATCGAGGTTGAAATCTTAAGGTTCTGTCACAAAATGGCATTGATTTTTGTATGCAACATATGCCTCTACTTCCATTAGTTATTCGTGCAGATAGTTTTACCCCGTAACAAAATTATCATGACTTAGTAAGCTTCAATACATTGGATGTAATCTAATTATTTGTAATGAGGGTGATGCAGAGGAAGGGGGCGTAGTTTACTTTTTGTGTCAGTTTAGTACTGTATATTGTCAATAACATCTATGAGTGTATTTGTTAAATTTGATAGAGTTAGTAGACGATGCTGACTCTTGTTCGACACACGCACATAAAGTATCAACTTGAATAATCAGTTCATAGGAGTTTAAGAACATGTGAATCATCAATGCCGAATTACGCATTTAAAACCACTAGATAAACTTCGTCTTGTTGTCTTAAAAGACATTAACATGCGCTCGGAATCAGTTGTAACCGTTTTCATATATCAATGGATCTTATTCGTAAATCTGTAAGTCTATAGAGTATGGCAAATGGTCGCTCTACGTGCAAAGTCGCTACTCAGTTTTTGAAGAACTTTAGACAACTCCTATTGATTAAAACAGCAAGCAAGGACGTCAAACTCAAGCGGATGTTGTAAAAAGAAAAACATGTCTTCGGGGTATATATTAATTACTAAGAATATGCTACATTCAATTAATATTCGCAAGAACTGCCGAGATAATGATCACATCTTTCTATTACAAAAAGCACGCGAACGTATCCTTTCATCAAAATAGGCGTTTTCAAGGATCGGGAGATGCTCATATCGCGTACATCTCATGCAGGGTAGTTGACATATGGGTGAGTACATACTTTTCAATTGTTTCTATTATCAAAAAATGATCATCAGAACTATACGATAGATAATACAGGAAAAAGAGAAATATATTCACTAATATCATCAGTACAGTGAACTTTCATTGAAAACTACTTTCATAAAATATTTAACATGATCATTTATGTATTATTCTGTTCTATAATTCTGAACTAGAAATTTCTCGTTAAAAGCTTCTATTTAGATGCCATTAATGATTCTCATAGGATGTAATATAAGTGAATTTCTACTTTCCCTGTTCCACTCTATTATAGATCGGCGTTTTCTTTAGAGTAGCACTCTTCTTCTATTGAATATTACTGAAATGTCCGCAATTAATCGAACTTTTTCTTCAGTCAATCTGCCATTCATCAGATCAATAATCGATGATTTGGATTTCATCCAACGAAGATTTGTGAACCAACTTCCTCTCATCATCATTATTCTCGGTCTCATTGGATTTATTGGCAATCTTTTCACATTTCTTCAACCAACCCTTCGACAGAACTCAATTTGTATCCATACACTCTCAGCATCGTTTATTGACATCATTAATCTGTTCATCAACCTGTTTCCACTATACTTGAATCCATCTACAGGAAATCTCGCTGCATCCATCACCAACAGATCATTATGTAAATTGAAACTCTTTGCTCTGGTATTTTTCCCTCAATTATCATTAAATCTGTTGATAATGTCCCTGATTGATCGGTATGCCTGCACTTTCGGTCCAACATCTTCAATGTCTCGACTACTTCAATTGAGAACGGTACCATGGATGATTTTCATCACCATCATCATCAGCTGTATCATGTCATTATATCCCATTATTTTATATGATGTTCTTCCTGGTTTCGGTTGTGGTTCGATGAATCCAACAATCAATGCAATTATTTATATAGGCATTCATGGGATCATGACACCCATTATCATGTTGATCTTCGTACTTCTCACCTACCGAAAAATCATACAAAGGCGACAGCGAATTGTGAGTATTACATTGAATATTTCCGAACCAATTCTTTCATGTTGTAGGGAGCGATGTTGGTCGCAAGTCAGAATCGTTATCGCAATCAGTTTATTGCAATGATATTTGCTCAAGTGTCTGTCACTAGTTTCCTTGTGCTTCAATGGATGGGGATGTACTCGTATTTTTGGATAACAAAAAATACGGTTAAGAGCGCGGAGGATTGGGCAATTATTTACTTTCTGTTGAGTTTAACCAACAATCTCTACTATTTTATCAATGTGAGATCGTTCTATCTATCAACATTGACATCTCGTCTCTTTCGGCAGGCGATGTTTGCAGGTTTCTTAAAATTATTCCGTCGAACATTTCATTGAAAATTGATCTTACAACGTACTCAGAACTGCGTGAAACGAATAATAGATTATTCCCTCGACTGAAAGGAGGGTCGTATGAACAAATATTAATAGTTTGTTTGTATTTTTGTGTCAGGGTCAAAGGTCAAAAAAGAAACATGTTTTTCGAAATGCTCAAAACTTCATGAAAGATCATTTGGATGGGGTGTAGAGGCTGTAGGTTGGTAGAAGGTGCCTGACGGGGCCAAAAGAGCGCCGTAGAAGATTAGTTCAAAGGCGCACGAAACATTTGATGAAGACATGACGTAGGTCATTAAAGACAGTTCTCTATCTGACACAGAAAAGATCAAATAAAATAACTTGGTCGCTTGTATGATTCGTTATATGTTTGCGCTTCACTGAGTGCTGTAAGAATTATGCAAAAGTATACAACTGATTCCCCTCTAACAGTCGGTCGAAAAACATTGGTGATGGTGAATTATAAATCTGGATCTAATTTTATTAATCATTTTGTTTGTGATTCTCTCTTCACTCAAGTAAATAGTTTTTCAAACATTTGTATGAAAATGTCGTCTGGGAATTTTCTAGCGGAAGAGTGAAATCCCTGAAAATACAGCTATCCATACTCATACATTAAGTACGCACAAGCATAGAAAATGATGGATCTTAGCTATAGAAGTCACAAGTTAGTTACGGTTTCATTGCCGAAAATCTCAAAGAGAACTATACTCCTTGTGTATCTCGTGATCATTTTTAAGGTCGAGACCATGAGTAATCTGCTTAAAACTGGTGATATACCAAAGTTTTAACAAAGAAATGAACGATCTTTGATTTTTCCTACAATATCCTGACGCTTCGATTTAAAGACTCTGTCTCATATAATCATATGACGTCTGTGAAGTCATGCTATAGATACTTTCAATGTTGAGAGTTTAAAATCATTTTTCATAAGTATTTCACTAAACACAAGTAGCGCTCGTCGTGCCGACTCATTTAACCCTCGACTGTGGAGAACAGATATTTTTGTCGTGTCGCAACTGTGAGACAAATTGATCTAACAGTTTTATATACGAAGAAACAATTCAAATTTTTTTTTACAAAAAAATTCAGTATTTTGTTTTCGGAAGTTACTAAATATATCTGCGCTAAGGGTGGGTGTGGGTGGGTCTTGGTGCTGGATGTTGATAGTGGAGTACAGGACGGGATCACAAGAGCTGTCCCGGCGAGGTCAAAGGTAAAAAACAGCTTGGTCCTACTTGCTCGAAAACACCTTCCGCACCACCCATGCCCCTCTTTGATGTGCTGTGATGTGCATCTCGTGTAAATTGTCAACTTCGAGGAAACAGGACGATACCGTAAAAAACACTGACCCCTTTCCCGAAATGCTTTAATTTTAAAGAAAAGTCGTTTGGAATATGTTGAACCGTTGAGGAACCAACGTTTTTGTATCCGAAAATATGCCCTTCGGCCTTAGCTCGAATTCGACTAAATCAATGGAGGTACTGGGGACACGTAATAGGACTAGTTAGATGTTCTTTCATCCGATGGGAGAATCGTATGAGGAAAAGCAGTTTGAATGGTGTGTGTTTGTATCATTATTTAAAGACAATATTGACAGAAACTTCACGAATAACGTGCGGAGATAGCTGATACGGATCGATACCTATCATGGATAATAAACCTGGCCAGTCAGGAGTCACGCGGTGTAGAGCTGAGAAATTACATGTGTCTAGGATACTTTTGTCGTATGATCCTATATATGAGAAACATGGAAGATTTCCTCTTATAACGACTAGTAAACAAAAGACAAGCTCTCCAGCTGAAAACTTTCTCTATATAGATTGTGTTCAGGTAGTTAAATTGTGTGTTAAGTGCTAGAGAGGAAGGCGAGTGCCGTTTGAGGACGTGTATATGTTATGAACAATATCGAGCAGTCGGAAGTGGCGGATCGAAGGGTTGCCGACGACCACCAGCGAGATGAGTGGATTGATATATGTTTTGAAAACTTCTTATGACAAGAGTAGAATTAAAAGAGAATCAGTCGAGGGCTAAGCGAGTCGGACTCGGCAAGCATTAATTGTTTCTTCGTATATAAAACTGTTAGATCAATTTATCTCACAATTGCGACACGACAAAAGTAGATGTTCTCCACAGTCGAGGGTTAAGTGAGTCAGCACAACGAGTGCTATTTGTTGAGTAATTTTGGTTTGTAGTAGAATATTCTCACACACTTTTGCTAGAACTATTTCATGCACATTCGTTTTATAGCAGATGAAGTTTCAGCTTGTTCCTTGATGGAAAAAATATATCTCTTTCTCGGAGCAGAACTTCGTTCGGTGAAGAGCTACGAATTTATTTCGAGTTGGTAGGACAAGGTGTTCGGAGTTCAGATTATATAGTGCTATTTCGTGCACATAATTCGTTTTGAGTTTGAATAAAAAAGCCTGCCACAGTTTTAGAAATACAAATTATAAGGTGCGCAGTCTCTTTTAGCGTACCAGTATAATCAGTCGAATATTGTGAAACGAATGATCTTGGATCGTTTATCAGTATGCATAGTCTTATGAATAGTGATCAACCATTTACTTCGTGTACTACTAAAAACAATCAAACTTAGTGTGGTCTGTGTAAGCGAGAGAAAAGCATTTATTCATCAGAACGAACATAAATTCAGTGCGAAGTCAACGGAAGATATCAGTCATAGATCAATAATTATAGTTCCATACTCGATATTGGTTGCTGATTCATAATGAAGCCATTTTTCTCGGTCGTGGTGGAATACATCGTTGCCTATGACTGCAAATAAAAACGGACCAAATCCAATCGTTTCAAAGTATCTAGCAGAAGGATCGGGAAGACCTTCGCTTGCTCGACTGAATCGCTCCTTCAGATATTCCCAAGTACGCTCTCCGCCAGTGACACGTCTTGGTTGAAAAGTGCGATTGCTAATGTAGGTAAACGAACATGTAGGCACTGTAATGTTATTCGAAGTGATGCTGTTCTTGATTGCTGTCGACATGTAAATACAACTCGCCTGAACTTTTCGTATGAAAAAGGGGATTATTTATACAACGAACAAAATACTAAGCCTAGCGGGTGGTCCATTGCAAAATACATAAACGGAATGAGAGAAGCAAAAATAATAATAATTGAAAGAGCTCGACGGGAACTATCATTCTTGCATTGCACATTGAGTTTTGATTAATCCGAAACTGAAATCAAATGCAAAAGAAGATTTTGCCAACATTTGATCACCATCAACTGCGAACGCTTAAGAGGTGACATCGAAGATAGAATTTAAGAGGAGACCTGTACAAAGTACAGGTAGAAAGAAGGCGGAGTGAGTTGCCGGCTCAGGTGTTTCTTTCTTCATTCTATGGTCTACCATCGTAAAAACATCTATCCAATCATGTTCGCCTAGTTAAACAGGAAAAAAAGAACAAATCGACCTGATAATACCACTAATCTCTTCTATAATGATAAATACAAAAGGAAAGGAAAGATTTTCTTTCCGCAGCTATTCAATTATTATACCACAGCATGTACAGAACCTTCTTGTTACTGAGGATGTAATTATGTCATTTCTTCACTCATCTATTCAATATTGCTGAAATGCTCACAACAAATCAAAATTTCTACCGATACCTCATGACCATCGATGGTGTTCACAAGCGAATATAAGTAAATATATCATGGAAGATTTACCAGTACTCAACGCATATAAAATATCTATTTAAAGATAAATATTGCTTCTACCGCTAATACTGATATAAAAAGTGTAAATTTACTATTTGTGTGTATGAAAGTTTTCTAAATTCTTTTGAGTTACGACGAACACTAGCACGCAGTGGAAAGTTGTATTTGCAACCGGTTCAATTCAGTTCGGAAAAAAACACAATCGAATCGTATGGTCGATGTGCTGTCTTGATCGTCTATGAGCAGCGGTTATGAAACAACACAGATGGATTTATTCTTCGAAATATATCAAGTAACAAACAACTGTAATAGTAAAAAACGACGAGCAAATTCAAATAAGTGATGAAGCAGTTGAAGATAAGAATTCTTTTAAAGTAAAACAGACATGGTTTTTGAGACCCTTTCATACACCAAAATTAACATTCATGAAACGACAAAATTCACATCTGATGTAACTCAAGTTTGTGCTTTATGTATCTGTGTTTTGAAATGCGATATTAGACAAGGTAGAGTAGGTTAGATCGTTTTTTTCGTTAAAATGATGCATTTTTTATCGTAGCATTCACGAATCTGCAGTTGAAGAGCGCGAAATTAATCAGAAGAATTTATGCATATTGAAGAAAATCTGGCAGCTACGGATATGATGCAAGTCTGCATCAGCTGAAGAATTCAGCAGGAGTTTGTGTATCATCGACAGATCAATCGATGTATGTGAGTGATCAAGACAATCATCCGGTATTACGAAGAATGCGATATATAGATTCACGATTCTGGTGTAAGAATCAGTGCTGTGCATGGCGTTAGGATAAAAAGTATACAGAGTGAGTTTTGTAGTTTTTACTCGTCGTAGCTTTTCTAACTAAAATATTGCGTAAGATAGCTGAACAGAATGTCATTAAAAGATATGTTAGTGGCAATCGCTTAATTAATGAGACTTTGGAGTGAGGGAATATCTATCTTCCTCTTTATTGAGATGAACATTCCGAGTCATACTCCAATCTCATCATCGAGATCTATGCCGTCAGATTTTTAAACTGCGTTTTTTTTCTAATGAAAGCACTGTGTTGCACTTTTTCAAGGCCGGAGGGATGATATTCAAAATGCTTCTTCATGGTTCTCTATAACGCTTCACGAAATACTCATTAATTGCATATTTGCTTTCTAATATTTTCTGCTAATTATGACAAGTATTCTATGTCATATTTTATTTAAGCTGGCAGAGAGAAACTCATTTCTACTCAATGCCACTTTTTTCTTTTTTAGTCAGACATGATTTTGCCATGATCAGAATAATGATATATTATCATTAAATTGTCAGTCTTATTCATATTCTTTTAAAAAGCGAATTTGTGTCATTCGAATACTGTGAAAACATTTCTATCCATGGAATTAGGTCTCACTACTGGCTTCTGCGCATACGTTATTTAGGTAAGAAATTGAATACTTCTTACATCTGGATAATGGATGCGAGAAATCTATTCAATTGGCTTCGTGAGTATGTATACTATTACAACGTTTTTATACCCGAGGAGTATGACGATGATGGTGATGAACATCATACGACACGGAATCCTACAGCAGTTATTAAATATCAACTATATGCTACTCGACTATATGTTCCTCTTCTTATCAGTGAGTCTATTTAATATAACAGAAACAATCGATTAGAAATTCTTCAATTCCTGTTCATCATTTAGTGACCGTATATATGCTCACCTTTATTGTTGTAATCTTCCCACCAACTCAACAGGTCACCGTAACAAACATAAATCCATCCCTGTTCGAACAACTCTATGAACAACATGGTGAAACGCTTCATTGTTCATGTTCGACAGCTAGTATACCTTATAAAGATTTCGCTACGAACACAGTGGCATTCCATCCATTATGTTCGAGTGTTTATGTTAGCAAAGAATGGATTGAAGCACTCTACTCACCATATGCCAGTGCGTACTTTGCGATGGATTTTCGAAAAAGTGCTAGTTCGCAGGTAAGCGAATAAATTTGGCTGAAAAACGTGCTTTTATCTTGTGAGTACAATAACTGCATGAATACTTAGATTCAACCTTTGAGCTCGAGGTTTCCAGACGTGGACGCTATTTCTTCCAAAAAGGATGTTGCACTGTTCGTTATGTTTATATGATTGGTTTTTTATTCTTTTATATAGTTCGAGCTTCTCGCTGCATTTTGTTTGATTTGTAACCAGACAGTATCTCAATTACTAGCTGATTTTAATACTAAACAACTTATTAGTCTTGAACTCCTGCGAGATGAAGATGTTCGATTTCGCATTATGACGGATGTGGAAATTGTTAGAGCAAACGCACCTGTTGAAGTTGTTACAACGCTGCATCTTCTTCAAATAGCAAATCAACAGAACTCATTGATCTCTGCTCTACGAAGCAATATATTTGTTGGAGCATACACTCGTA